CGGTCTGCGACCGAGTTTCAGAACATACTTAATGAAACAGTTACTACATGCATGCCGATTATGTAGCTTATTGCTGGGCCCAGACCTGGAATCCAAAATCTTGCCGTGAGTTTTGCCGGCGACCTTAGCGACATTTGCTGCTGGTGAAACGTTATGAAACGTTCCTGCAGTCGTCCGAACATCCGATATCACATGTCGCATGTTCGCTGGCGTCCGAGGGACGAGCCTTCAGCGGGTGATACAACACTTCGCATAAGGCGTATTGTGTAATATTTCTTCTCCTGCGACGGTGCATGCCACGTCGAGGTCAACATCCTCAGTGGTTCTGACCCGTCGGCTGCAAGCACAGGGTCCATTGCAACGCTGCGGCACGGGCAACAAACCGATGTAAGGCCACTGAGCAGCTGCAACCCCCAAGTTTCAAATCATGGACACATCAGGAGCTCACAGTAGCTCAGGGCTGTGCCTTGTGCGGAGCATGGGTGTGGCCGACTTCTCAGCTGAACAGGATCAGAGCCTGGGTTCTGGCCATCATTTGTTCCAGTAGTTAGTACAGCTTGTTAGAGGCCAAAGGCGAAGCGCTGGAGTAGCAATGGACAGGTGCAGCTTCACCCTGCCGCTCTCCCCGAAGGAGTATGCGGCGTGTTGCATGCTTTGTCTTGCAGCCCTTAGCAATTCGAGCTTGTTGCATTTTCGGGGCGGATCTGGTGATGCTCGGAAGCTAGTGTGAAGTTGCATGCCTGAGGAGGTTGAGTTGAAGCCCGCCCTTTGTTTCTGTGCCGCCGGATCTGGGTGTTAGGCAGACTGCCCGTTTGCCCAGAGCCGATGGCATCCCGGCATAGTTGAGCCATTGCCACCCACTGTCCCGTGCTGACAGTTGCGATCAAAACCTTTCAGTCTAGTTTTCTGCGTACTTCGTGCGCAACGACGAGGCCGGGTGCGCCAGCCCCAGATTGCTGGGACGAAAAGGCATGACTTGACATACACTGACCATATCAGCAGCCTTTTAAAATCCGTCATGCAGCAAAACAAAAGAAACAGTAAGTCGACAAGGATTAGCGCAGCCGGCCCAGACCCTGCAACTTGGCCGAGGAAGGAAAAGAGGTTTGATCTAGGCCGGACTGGAGGCTAGCGGCTAGTGGTCGGAGCAAGTAAGCCAAACATGACTTTAAGTTGCATGTAAGTACCACTTGTAGGAACATGGGGGAGACACCATAAGTTCTGGAAAGCTGCCTCCACGACACCAATCGACTGCTAATTTGGGCTTCAGGTCATCCGTAAAATCACTTCAGCAGAGAGCCAATGTGCGAGGCCCTTGTTGACACCTCAGACATTATTCAAGAGCCATATGTTTTGAAATCATAACTACTATACCGGTGGCAGCGTACATCGAGGTTGGTGCCACCGAACTCTGTCGTTTGGGCGTGTCTACTTGGTACACTTACCCTCTCTGCGTTTACCTGTTAAGCCTGGTGAGCGTGTGCGGAGTGCTTTCTGTGCATCGCGCATTTGTTGAATGCTGCCAATCCCTTGCCGAGCCAGAGTACAGTAGGAGGCTAGTACGGCTAGTAGGAGGTTGGCAGGGTGGCCGGGGGTGTACTCCAAAGCCGTTAGCATTCTCCACGCTTCGTGGGCTGGTTGAAGCCTCTCATGGCTCTTGAAAACACAAGACTTTTAGACTACTGCCCATGCCAGTTTCAATTCGGACTTTAGTTCCAAATGCCAGCAAGAAGTCGTTTTTCTCTCCACTGAAGCCACGATGGCGTCACACACTGCAGCTGTCAAGAGGCCAGATGGTGCCTTTGCGGGATTCATTGGAGGACATCCAACGAACGTATCAAGGGTGCTGCGATTAGGTTCGGTTTGATTTGTGCTGACACCAGTTCTCTCGAATGTTCGGTACGTTGCGGTGCGGTGCAGTACCTCCCTCCAACCTGCACCCCTCACGACCCACCTCTGCACGGGCCCAAGACCTGAATTCGTGCGTGCATTTCGTAAACCTCTGAACTGCAACAGGTTGCGACTCCTCCTGGTTCTCGCCGTCAGCGTTGGCGTGGTGCTCAGATACCGATGGTCAAAGTTAAATGGTGGAAAGCTGTCAGAGATATGACTCATGCATGTTTAGGTTCTTCAAGCACACATTGTCCAAGTGGATTCATGCGCCGAGTGAGATACTGCACATATACCGACATGTACCTGGATACTGAATGAGACCCCACGGTGCTGGTAGTGAGCATGATGTAGATGCTGCATGACACATGACCGCAAACCCTTCCGAAACAGGGAGGCACAGAAAACCCCTACAGTGCCCTACAGGGCATTCTGTATTCCTTACGGCTTTTCTGTTCCAAGTGTAGCGCTTAATGCATCCATGCAAGTATCTGAGAAAATGCGGTTGAGGACCTTACGGAAAGGACACCAACACTGTCCCTCAGTTCGTGGTCTTCCGAACCGCAAATCGTGCATCCAGCCAACGTGCAGGCTGCTTAGCCAGTGCCTTCGTTGCTCCCAGCAAGGCCTGGGGCATGAGTACGGGCTAGCAATGAGCGGGTCATAGTTACTTTTGGGGCCTGAATAATTCGCCATCAGTAATATTATCCCCTGTGAGATCCCTGCCATAATTGCGACATAGTATACCAAAAAGACCGTATTTGAGCTCTTGAGGCCCCGATTTTTGTTTTTGCAGTCCAGCCATCCGACTTTCCTCTTACAGAGATGTGAGGGTCGTCCAGTACTTCCCACTGCTTCTGTCCTCATCAAGGCACGCTGCGCGACAGAACTGGAGAGGGCCGAAGGATTGGTGGGGGACGGCGCATGAATTGTAGGCAAAGTTAGAAGCTCTCGGCACTCGTCCTTCTGCAAAGTCGTTGGGAGCCATGACGCTGAAGGTGCAGCAGTCGGATCGTGGAACTCAAGGAGCTGTCACGAGGTTGGATGTCTTACTCTTCTGTCACGACTTCAGTCACTTAGTCTTGTTGTAGCTGCTGGCCTTGTCAAGTTTAGGTTGGAGGGCTACTATATGACCCAATATTGGGTCGCTGCTACGACCTGATGCTGTTAGCCTTGTGGTTAATTTTGTTCCAGGAAGGCGGTTACTGCATCTGGTGCATCGCTTCGCATCTGAGATTTTGCGACGTCTTGCTTGGACATCGGCCCTAGGCCTTTGACCTTCGACTGCTAATTGAATAATATTCAACTTCAACCAAAACCACAATACAAGATTCAAGATATGAAAACTCCCTGCTCGGGAGACTGTGGGTACCTGCGAAGCTGGTTGCAGAGTCGAAAGCGTCAATCTGAATCCGGCACAATCGAGGTTTGGTGAAAGCCCAATGTCTGAACTGATGCCGCTGCTTTTGGCGCAGATTGTCTGTTAATGATTTCATAATATTTCATTCGTCAGCACCCTTTCCGAGGCCCCGTACACAGAGCGAGTGTTTTGTGTCGTTTTTTTTTTAATGCCAACCCTGGATGCAGCGGACATGATGGGGTCCAGAGTTTCGTGCCAGGCCTCAGCAGTGTTGTACACGCACTGCCGTGCCATCACGAACGTTGTCAGAACGGCGGTATTGTAATCGTAGCGACAGTAGCTCTGCCGCTAGCCATGAGTGGCATCGAGTCTGGCGAAGAGTTGAAGGCACGGGGCAATTGTGACGCTGCACACGTGCTGTCTGCTTAGCAACAGTGACCCGCCAATTGTCTTCTATGAGGTCATCTTGTTCAGGGCCTAGGGCTACAAAGAGCTGTGCAACGATTTTTGCTTTCTCGGGCTAGCTAGCTCATGCCACAGCTGAATAGAGCGATCCCTCGCCTCCTATTCAATCTCCTGCAATCTCAACCCACTCCGGACTTCTGCGGAATGCAATGGGCGTCCTGGCTAATCCCCGTCACCTTGTAACATGGCAACCTCGTCAGTAGCTGATAAGTAGGCACACATCTTTGTTGGATTTCTGCGCAATCTTCGCATGTCTCAGGTTGTCGCAGGCAATGAAAGCCCGGTACTTCTCCGGGATTTGCCTGCAACGCTGACCTCGATCGACTTGCAGCCCTTTCTGGAGTCCTACGGATACCAGGCCCAGAGTGTTTGTGATTTCGGGAGCATTGGCGTGCTGCGTTTCTCTCCCTTGCCGGAGTTTTCTAGTAAGTGCATTTCGAGGCTAAGTAACCTTGCGATTGTTCCACGGAGCAGGATTACTCAAGGTAGGATGGGCTGCCGGTTCAGATCTGTCTGGCATCTTTCAGGTAGCAGTTTTATTAACATCCGGATTTGTATTCCGACTCGTTCAGCGAGCCGATCAGCTACTACTGTTGAAATGCATGCGGCTAATACTGTCACGAGGTAGACGACAACTCCTCCTTGCCCTTTCCTAAATAGATCATGTTTTCTTGAAGCTGTCGTGTTCTGCGTCTTGCCATATTTTTCAAGCAATGCTTGTTCTGCTGTCTGCTTTTGTGCTCCCTCCTACGATTATGAGTTTGGGACCCTAAACCCTAAACCCTAAACCCCTAATCCCTAAACCCTAGTTGCTAGGCCAAAAGTCCGTCGGAATGGTGCAGCTGGAAGCCTTTGCCCGAGCTCGCGATGCGTGTTTGCGGCCACACCAAGGCACGTTGCTGTCGTTTAGTTACGGGTGTACGGTATTCAAACCATATAGTCCCCCTGCATATAGCGCTTGCTACATACTCAGATAAGTCGCTACACAACGAGTAAGTTTTTCCGCTTTTGCACCTGCTTGCGAAGGACATTCAAGTACGTAGGTTATCCCGATAAGTACATGGGCATGAGTTTCAGAGCCACCATGGCTATAGAATAACTTCAAGATAAACTTGAGCCATGAAGGCGGCCGAAGCCCCTCGGCTATGGAAAATTAGTCTTTTTTCCATTTTTCAAAGATTAATCCTTTGCTTAGAACCCATGCAGGCTAGCAGGACAGAATGAAAGAACCCGGAATATAGGAATTAGCTAGTTTTCTAGTTTTACCTATAGTTTGTTCTGGGGTTTTCTATTTTTGTCTGGCTTTTCTTAGTTTGTGTTGGTGTTAATCATTCTTTGTAAAGTGTAATTGCTGTTGCTCCATTTTCCAGGCTTGGTTTCGTGTTGGGTTTCTTTGGTGTTGGTAAGTTTTCCTTACTGTTGCTCCGTTGACCACGAGCCATGGATTTGTTTGCCCCAGGTGTTGTCTGTGTTTCTGAGTTTTCCTTCGCCTCCTCAGCATTTGGCCCCATATGCTGTGATATGCTTTGTCTGTTCCCTTACTGTTGAAAAAGCCCCATGCATAACAGATATGTATATGTGTGTGTATGAAAAATTCGCAAACCCAGGATGCAACGTTCCAACAGTCACGCGCAGAAAAAACGCTTAAGATGTGTTTCTAGTCTATTGCTTTGCGGCAGCACAGAGACGGAGAAAGGAGTCATTGCTGGGGCTCCCATGTTCTGACTGCAGTCATGGTTGAACTAGATGGGGGTTTCCGAAAATAGGGGACCCTAATATAGTACTCCAATGAATAGGATCCCTATTATAAGGACCCCAAAATAAGGTACCCTAATCTTCTGAAACTCCCAGATGGACAAGTCATGAAACCTTGCCTGCGTCGTGCGAGCCGGAGAGTGGAAACCTTACCCCCTAAGCCCCAAACCCCTAAACCAGACGTACAGGCTAGGTTCTATAGTATGGTGGTCATGTGGCAATCTGATGTGCTTCCGTATATGCTTTCGTATGCTCATATCGCTGATTTTGTTTGCCGCTCACTGCGTCATGGCGACCTCAGACCACTGAGCATCATGCTTGTTGGTGTTGGCCGGCGATAGTATGGTTGCTTGGTCACCAGGCTGTTCGCCATCAGGTTAGCTCTTGTGACTCTTGCGAAGACCCCTGAACCCCTGCCTGCTTAACGAGTGTGAAGCGTGAGAGTCGAAACCCTAAACAGTCTGCGGGGAAGCTACTGTCTCGACCATGTGTCGCGTCTGTGGCAGGTGGATGGACACATGTACTACGATGTCGCTTGCCTGCACCGTTCAAGCAGCCGGGCCAGCCAGAAACATCCATGGACTCCAGGCCCAGCTGCTTTAAGAATGGCCAAGAAGTTCTGATGTAAAATGCCAGAAATCCCTCGACATACTGCGCAGCATGTTTCCTCTCCGTGGCTTTCGGGTGCTCCGGGCCACCCTGAGCACCAGGCTTCAAGACGCTGTCCACCTCGTAATGTCTCCCTCTGATAAAACTGGAAGTAACTACTATGTTGTTTTATAGGAGGAGGAAGAGGCTGGATGACCAGGACCGCCAGTTAATGTTGATATTGCAATCAGTGTACATATATCCGTATATATATATATATATGGATGTATGTGTGTGTAATATGATATGTATATATATATATATGTATATACACATGCAAATGTATGAATATGAGAATTTGTTAATGTCTGTATTAAGTACCAATTACCAAAACCCTTTTCATATTAATGGTCATAGTAAGGTTCGTATTAACATATTCGTATTAACATTCATATGATAAAATTCATATGAATATTATCTTCATGCTAGTCATAACAGTAAAGTTGATCTTAATGCTGATATTGATAATGCGCATAACAGGCATAATAACATTTATATTCATGATAAATAAATAGGCAGACGAACAAGCAAATTGCATATGTACATATATATATATATATTGATGTGTGTGTATGTGTGTGTCTGTATGTCTGTATGTCTG